GTTTTGAAAACATGAAATGCCTCACTTTTATGAGTTATAAATAATGTCCATGTGAATCGAGAGTAGTCATCAACGATCACAAAGGCGAAATAGTTTCCCCCAAAACTTTTTGTTCTTGATGGTCCAAAGAGATCCATGTGCAAAAGTTGTAGGGGCCTTGTTGTAGACACAACATTTTTCGATTTAAATGAGGCCCTTACTTGTTTGCCCTTTTGACATGAATCACAAATGGTGTCCTTCTCAAACTTGAGTTTCGGAAGACCAACTACTAAGTCTTGTGAAACTAATTTATTCAAAAGGTTCATGTTGACATGAGCTACTCTGCGATGCCATAGCCACATATCGTCCTCCTTACTCATGAGACATTTGGCAAAGTCGGAGGGAAATTCATCTAAGTTAACCATGTAAATATTATCAATTCTATCACCACGAAGAATTGTCTTATTGTCACTAAGACGTTCTACCGTACATGATTTCGAATCGAAGGTCACACGATTTCCCTTGTCACACAATTGACTTATGCTCAAGAGATTGTGTTTAAGACCCTTAACCAACAAAACATTATCAATGGAGGAGGTTTCGTTTTTACCAACCAAACCAATGCCGATTATCTTGCCTTTGCTATTGTCGCCAAAGACAACATTTCCTCCTTTGGTTGGTTTGATTTGCAAAAACTTGGATGCATCTCCGGTCATGTGCTTGGAGAACCCGCTATCAAGGTACCAAAGTACACTTGATGCCTTCAAGCACACCTACAAATCAATTTAAAAGGATTTAGGTACCCAATTCCTTTTGGGTCCTTGGGCGTTAGGTGCACGTTCGTAGTGTGATTGGTTTTGAGTGCAATGCCTATGCCTAGTGAAACAAACCGGAGCTATATGTCCTACCCTATTGCAATAATGACAAATAACATTTGGATTATGCATTCTCCTAGTTTGATAATAGTTACTAGGTTTTCTATATTGATTGACCCTAGTTTGAGAAAAAGTTTGTTTATGCATATTTGGAAAATGGTTTCTAGGTTCTCTAACTTGACTACTGTTTATCCTAATGTTCTTTCTAGGTGGTCTAGTGTTCCTAGTTGATGTAGGTTGTCTATTATTGTTCATTTTAGTTTTCCTAGGTTGAGCCTTAGGGTGTTTAGGTGGTTGCTCAACTTTTCCTTTATTATTAGTTCCATTTTCAAAACCTAGACCATGTTTAGTAAGTTGCAAATTATCAAGAACATCATTGAGATTTTTATGAGAAACACCAAACTTCTTTAAGGTTCCTTCAAGTTTTGCAACTTGTTCTTTAAGTGATGTACAAGAATTACGTTTTGAACTCTCCGGTTTGTCGGCGCTTCTTTTTCCGAAAAACTTATTTTCTTCTTTAAGTTTTTCATTGTCTTTTGATAATTTATCAACCTCCTTCTCCATGGAAGTAAGTTGTTTCTTTAAATCCTTGTTAATTTTAGAAGCATTGACATATTCATCATAGAGTTCATTAAAAGCTTCTTGTACATCATCTAAAGTATGGGAATCTTTAGAAGTGGTACATACCTCTTCCGGTGGTTCCTCGTGTGCAATGAGGCATAGGTTGGCGCTTTCATTTTCTTCACCTTCCGATGATTCGTCGCCGGAATCACCTCCCCACGAGATGTAAGCTCGGTGCTTCTTGAACGGTTTCTTCTCCTTCTCGTCTTTGGCATTTGGGCATTTTGGCTTGATATGCTCAACTTCTCCACATCCATAGCACTTGGGTGGTCCTCCATGCTTTTTACCCTTTCGTTCATACTCCTTGCGCATGAACTTGTGGAATTTCTTGATGACTAGCCCGAACTCGTTGTCTTCATCGCTTGATTCCTCCATGGCGGGTTCTTGGCTTGAGGAAGCCTTGAGTGCAATTCCCTTCTTCTTTTTGT